GGCTGTCCAGGGAACGTTCAGCAAGAAGCAGACCCAGGCGCATCACACGGTCAGCATTGTCTCGCAGCTGGGGCCTCAGGGGCGCTGAGCCAGAACTGCGGGCAAAGCCGAGAGGAAAGCAGCGCAGAAAAACTGACCAAGGCCAGAGGCCGGGGCGCACAGAGAAGACAAAGAGTGAGAAAAGAAAAGGACACGCGCACGCGCACAGCCACGCGACCATGCGACCACGCAACCATGCAACCACACAACCGCACAACCGCACAACCACACAACCAAACAAACGCTCACTAAAGGTACGGAAGCGGAAGGCGAGGCGGGGGAGAGGAGGAAGCGAGTGTGCAGACCAGGGAGGACGGAATGAGGCAGTAACAACCAGGCAGGGGGGGTTGTAAACGGGGCCAAGCCGACCCGGAAGGGCAAGCAGGGGGACAGCCCCAAATACAAAGAAGGATTCCAGCCAGGCAACGAGACCGAAGAGAAAACAAAAAAAAAAACCCTCCCAAAATCGGGGAGAGCAGACGGGTGGGAGCACTCTGGCCAGCACGCAAGGGCCTACCGAAGCGAAGGAAAGAATAAGGCGAAACGGGGAAGAGAAGCGAGCGCGCAGGCCCGGGAGGTGCAGCCAAAGGGAGGAGGGCGGGTCCAGGACGGAAAGAGACCGTTACAACCCCCCCGCGAGTGGCTAGGCAGGGGGGGGTTGTGAATGGGGCCAAGCCAACCCGGAATAGCCCTTCCAGAATAGGGGAGAGCAGAAGGGTGGGAGGGGTAGATAGTCTAGATAGCTTTTGATATTTTGCAGAACTATGATAGTTTCCAACCTTCCCGGGACACCCCCCGGGATGAGGTTAGATAGTTTCAGGCAAGCCCGAAACTATCAAAACTATCAAACTGATCCAAACTATCGAAGCTCCTCCGGGGGGCCCGAGCTACCCAAAGCCTCTTTTTAAGGCTATCTAAACTGTCTAGCCTCCCGAGAGGTTAGATCGTTATGATAGTTTTGATAGTTTTGGGAGGAGGCCCAAACTATCAAAACTATCTACCCCCGGGGGGTTACATAGTCTCATTAGATAGTTTTGATAGTTGGATAGTTCTGAAGTTTCCAACCTTCCCGGGAGACCCTCCGGGATGAGGGTAGACTGTTTCGATAGTCTCGCTCTTGCCCGAAACGATCTAAACTATCTAAACTATCCAAACCATCTACGCTATCTAAACTATCTAGCCTATCTAACGTCCCGGAGTTTGGGGGGAGGCAAACTACCGAAACTATCTAGCACATTTTTGATATGTTGTATGTCTATGATAGTTTCCAACCTTCCCGGGACGGCCCCCCCGGGATAAGGTTAGATAGTTTAGATAGTGTCGGGCTTGCCCGAAACTATCTAAACATTCTAAACACTCTATACTCTGCAAATTACAAACTATCTAAACTATCTAACCTCCCGGGGGAGGTTAGATGGTTTCGATCGTTCTGATAGTTTTGGGGGAGGCCCAAACTATCCAAACGATCTAAATTAGTTAAACTATCTAACCTCCCGAGGCGGCTGGATAGCTTTGATAGGTACTGATAGGTTTGGAGGAGGCCCAAACGATCAAAACTATGCACTCTATCTCACCTCCCCTGGAGGTTAGATAGTTTAGGTAGTATTGATAGCTTGGATAGGTTATGATAGTTTCCAACCTTCTGGGACACCTCCCGGGACAAGGTTAGATAGTTTATAGTTTCGGGCTTGCCCGAAACTATCTCAGCTATCAAAACCATTTAACTTCCCGGTCGAAGTTAGATAGTTTTGATCGTTTTGGGGGAGGCCCTTGGAGGCAAATTATTTAAACTATCTGACCTCCCGGGCCTGGTAGTTTAGATGTGTTTGGGGGAGGCCGGTGGAGACACAACTATCTAAACTATCTTATCAAACCTCCCGGATGAGGTTTGATAGTTTTGATAGTGTGGGGGAGGCCCCTCAAAACAAATCTATCAAAATTATCTAGCCTCCTTCACTACCGAAACCAGAGGGAGGTGGTCACATAGTACATAAAGGTCCCTCTTACATATATATATATACATATATACATGTATATGCTAACCCCCCCCGTGTACCTACCCTTTTTGGGCTGAATTCATAGAATATTCTGTATTTCTCCCTATCTCCCCCCTCCCCTCAAGATCCCGCAACGCGCGGTTGTTTTTTAGGGGGGGGCGAGGGGCTGCTCCCGTAACAATTCCAGCAGAAGTGACCTGAACAATTTGCTCGTGGATTGCGTGCTCTGATTTATATAGGAATCATATTCATTCGAATAGGATTCTGATCAAATTTGATTAATAGGGTTCATAAGATTCATTTTGTGTTAATAGGATTCTTATTAACCTGAATAGGAAACCCTTTAAAATGACTGAGAACCCTTAATACTAGTAAACTCAATAGGAACCCTCTTCAAATGAAAAAGAACCCTACTAAAATTGATAGGAATCTTATTGGATTTGTAGGAGCCTTACTAAAACAAATGGGACAACTTTATGGAATCCTAGAAACAACAATGGGGATCCTCTATTTAAATCCATAGGAACCCTATTTCAAATTAATCGGAGCCATAAATCAATATGAAGCCTCTTAACCCTCACAAATTAATGAGAATCCTCGTAGAACGAATAGGAATCCTATTCAACTGAAGAGGAACCCTACGAAAATTAATAGGAACCCATCGGACTCCTATAAAAATCTGTGAACCTTCAGAAAAATAATAGGAATCCGATTAAAATGAACATGAGCCTAAACCAACAGAATCCCTTGAAAGTGATTGAGATCCCTCTTAATATTAACACGAACCCCATTAGCATGAATAAGAATCTGATTCAAATTGATTAGGATTCTTATTACAAAACATAGGAGCCTTACTAGATAGTCATCCTATTAAACTAATATGAGCCTAATCCAATAGGAACGCTTTAAAAATAATGAGAACCTATGCGAATCCCAGTAACATGAATAAGAATCCTGTTTAAATTGATAAGAAATTGGTAGGAGCCTTAGGGCGTGATGTCTTAAGATATGTTGCTAAGGTACAGTGTTCAGTATAGATGTTAGGTTTTGCTTATCGGGGGATGATTGTTTGAGAAATCGTAGCTAAGGTATAGTTTTGAGGATAGATGTCATGTCTTGCGTATTGGGGCGTGATTGATTATGTGGAGGTTTGGGTACTCACTCGAGATTTTGCAGGATTTGAGTTTGTTGGTTGGTACTACCTCGAGAAATGGTGGCTGGGAGAGAGCCTCAGAAATTCATGGAAAACATTGGTTTTTACCAATGTTGTTGAAAGATGAAGCCGAAAAAGATTGGTAAAACAAATGTTTGTTTTCCATAAAAACACATGGTTAACTTATGCATCAGTTGAAAGTACTTCTTATGAAGTCTGATATACTTCTCAGCATCTTTCATTTAAACGGTACTCAGCTCATTAAATTAATGCAGTTGCTTAATGTAGTTGCTTTCGTTTGTAGCATATATAATATCTTAAACGCAATCTGACTACCGTTTAAGTCAACAAAATACATCATATTTCCAGTAGTAGCAAAATTATAACTTAGCTACTTTCAAGTATTTCATTAGTACATCAGTTTGGTTACTTTAAGTAAGGGCTATTTCAACTATCTAACATGTTCACTAAATATAGAAGGAAACCATTCCAGACGTTTTCAGAATTAGCATGCACCGGTCGAAGCTCGAGCATCGCGCCGTTGTTTGACATAGCAGCTTTGCCCTGCACGTTGAACGACATTGCAGCGTAAGTAGGTGATACAATTTGTTATTTGAGCTTATCATAGCTGCGCCAGTAAAAGCATTCACATATGTATGTGGTATACATGTTATGTATTCTTGGATGAGCAATCGTAGACAAAAAATCAGTACAAATACTGAAATATACTGAATGATACTGAAACCAACCTGGAACCAAGAACCAAGAACCAACATGCCACAAAAAGCCTTTTTCTTTACATCTTGGTTCTGATACAATTTGGTATTTGAGCTTATCATAGCTGCGCCAGTAAAAGCATTCACATATGCATGTGGTGTAAATGTTATGTATACTTGTAAGAGCAATTGTAGCCAACCATAATTCAGTATAAATGCTGAATTATACTGAATGACACTGAAACCAACCTGGAACCAAGAACCAGAAACAAAGATGCCACAATGTTTTTGTTTTATCTTGGTTCTTGGTTCAAGGTTGGCCTCAGTATAAATACTGAAATATACTGAATTATACTGAGATCCAGTGGGGCCATACATGCAGAACCAAGATCGTTTCAAAAAAAACTTTGGCGACATCTTGGTTCTTGGCTCCAGGCTAGTCTCGGAATAAACACTGAATTGTACTGAGGTATACTGGGGTCATCGGCTTAATCAGCTTAATTTGTATATATTCAAGTTTAGAGGTAGGTTTTTTTGGAGGGGTACCATATGTATATGTATATCTATATCAGTGATACAAAATAATAATACGGGCTAGTAATAAAAGTCCTTAATGAGCCCGTACATGAAGCACTATCCTTATAATTATGGTGTACACGCGGGCATAAAATAAATAAAGTATGAGCCCGCGGGTAAATTTAAGAATAACATTGTAATTGTATTAAGGGGGCCAATTTCGTATATTTAATAAGGCCCCCTTCACTTCGTACTTCCATTATTACGCCCTTCATGCGGTAAACTTATAAGGGCTTATAATACAATTCCCTTCGTATTACTATTAAGGGGGCATTATTACTATTTTCATCTTGTGGCCTATATCTATATCTATATCTATATCTATATCTATATCTATATCTATATCTATATCTATATCTATATCTATATCTATATCTATATCTATATCTATATCTATATCTATATCTATATCTATATCTATATCTATATCTATATCTATTGTATGTGACGGGCCACGACGTGATTGTCGTTGGGGCCGGCCTAATGGGCAGCATTGTTGCGTCCGATCTCGCCAAGCAGATGCCCGATAAGACGATCCTTCTGGTTGAAGCCGGTGCCGCCTCACAGGAGACTGCAGTAGACAGTGTTTGTTGTTTTGGTATTGCGTGTGATAGTGTGCAGTATAGTAGACGAGAGCCAGGGGCGCCGTATTGTAGCAATACGCAATAGACCCTAAAGCAGGCAGAACTCGGTGGGGAGCTCCCGCCCAGCCAATGGCAGCAGGGACGGCTGGTGGCCATGGGATTGTTCCGATCCAAATATCTCGGCTCGCTGACAAGGTACGGCCATTGTCAAAACCAGGGTTTGGGGCTTAGGGCTTGACTGGAGGAAGGACAACGATAGTTTACTGTGTATAGTGCACTACAGCAAGTTATATGTATGTTATTGCAAGCGAAGACTGTGTACATTGTGATTTGCGGCAGGGTATTATAAATCATTGTGTCTACCAAGGTATGATGTGCCCGGGAATTACGCCAAGGGCCTCCACTGCTGGAACGACATGTGCCGGGACAACTGGGGTTTCGAATTGGGCGGCATCCACCAATGCAAGGCTTTAGGAGGCAAGGGGTTTGGGGTTCAGTGTTCAGGGCGATTCGGATAGGTAAACTACAAGTTTTCGTGTTCATAACGACTCCAGTGGAGGTTGCGGCGTGATGAACGGAGCGCTGATGCAGCTGACACATCCAGCGAATTTTGACTCCTGGCCGGAAGGCTGGCGGGCCCAGGATTTGCAGTCTTTTGTGAGGATGGCTCAGCGCGATTTCCACATCACCCAAACCCCCAGTGCTGATGGGCGACACTACCTGAGCGATGCCGGTGGCAATTTCGTTCGGCGAGCTTTTGAAAAGTATGGTGGGGCTGCTGGCGGCTTTGTGGAGGACAGGGTTGTGCACTGGATTATATACTTATCCCATCCACCATTATTGAAGGGCTCTCTGCTGTTGAATATTCTGAATATTGCTTCGGACACCCGACCTCTGCCAAGCGCTGGCCCTTGGAATATCCAGCTAGCTAACTGAATCTTCTGCTCCAATGTTGCGTCGGCGCGACGAAGCACTGAGCAAATGAACAGCTTGCTGACTGGATCTTTGGCTCAGTGCTGAATCCATACTAAGCAGCAACCAGCGCTGCGCCCGTACTACACGGAATCGAGAAACATCCAAGTTGCCGATCCAAGTTGCCGATTGAATCGTCGATTCCAGCGCCACATTGCTACGCATCTCTACTATACGCAGCAATCAACAAACTAGATTTTTTACCATATTTACGTCCGTACTATGCATCAAGGAAATGCCACATTTTTAGCGAGCTCGTGGACTCTGAATCTTCGAGTCATCCGGGGCAATATCTGGCAATCAACCGCCGGCTTATGCTGACCGGATCTTCGAGTTCGGAAGCAATGAAATGGATCATCGGTTCCAATTCCATATCGGTTCTTCGGAGTCCCGAAAAATCACGAGCCGGCTGATGGAAGCTTTGGCTCCAATACTAATACCCTGTTTAGGAAGCAAAGCAGAGAACTTTGCTAGCGGAGTGAAGAAGCAGCTTGCTAAAGGCATTGTCGGCTCCAATGCCACATCCATAGAAGCAATGAAATTCTGCAATCGAAGCAATGAGGAAAAACATCTCCTGGAAGAAATCTTCGGCACTACATGCATACCAATTACCAAGCAATGAACAAACAAACCTGCAGGCTGAATCTTCGACTGCAAGACTTACCTCAATATTTTTTATTCTAAGCTGGCCGCGGGCGTTTGATGGGGTTTGCGGGTGCACGCGCGAAAGCACGCAACAAAAGGTAAAAGCAACAGTCAATATTGCAGGGCAATAAACCTGCAGGTGCAATCAACAGGTCCCCTCCTTATCGATATCGTACGGCCGAGCAGTGCCCTTTGTGAAGGACAACACGACTCAGCCTCGTGGAGGTATCTTTCACGTCCCACACGTCTCCGCAAAGGATGGCGTGCGCCAGTCAACAGCTCAGATGTGCCTGCTGCGGTTTCAATACGGCTTGGGGCTCGTTTTACCTGAGGTTTTTCATGTAAACTTTACCTGCAGGGGTATCTGCAGGAGTATCTGCAGGGGTATCAAGAGTATCTGCAGGTATCTGCCGGAAGCCTTGAAGCGCCCCAATTTCAAGCTCTTGAAGATGAAGCGGGCGACAAAGGCGGAGAAGTTACCAACAACAAATCGGGTGTGTCTTTTTTGCGTGCTAATATGGATGCCAGGTATTGGAAGAGCTTAAAGAACTCTAAGACACTAACCTTTCCAACCTCTCTAACCTCTAACCTCTCAAGCCTAAGCCGTTTCGAGAATTCGTCAGATTGAGACTGTGGCCGGCACGCAAGCCACGGGCGTGAGGGTCAAGGACGAAGAGACTGGCGATGAGGACACCTTGCAGCTGAAGGACGCCCGCAGCTCAAGGGCTCTATTTATGTTGTGTCTTATGCCTATGTATAGTGGCATGGAGTATGCGGCGTATAATCGAGGGTATTTATTGCCCAAACACTGTCAACACCAGGGGGTTTAACGTTCAGACGTTCAGAGTAAAGGAGATTAGATTTAGCAAAGTGCCTGTATTGAAGGACGGTGGGCTTGTGGTCGTGACAGCCGGTGCGATCAACACACCACGTCTTCTCCTTCGCAGTGGCATAACAGGTTATGGGACCGTGGGCAAGACCATCAAAGATCACAGCCTGTGGCACCAGATGTTCCGGTGCTGGCGTGACAATGACCCAAAGACTTATGGGGAAGTGACGGACCAGATCATGTCCCAGTACCTCCACGATAGAAGTGGAGCCCTGGCGCAATTCGGTCCAATTTTAATGGGCTTCTGGAAGGACCCGAGGACGTCTGGTGGCAACGACCAGTATGATGTCGAGTTCTTCCTGGGCCCCCAGGAAGAGATTCTTGTTGTCACAAGCTAAGGTAGCACATGGTAGCACGTAGTTGCACTTGGGAGCAGTCACGGTGTAGCGAAGTACGCAATGTCGCAGCGCCCCGCCAGGCAGAGGTAGGCCGGCTTGCACTCCATGTGGCGCTTATGCGAGACACTTGCTCCAACGCAGAGATGGCTCCCTGGCAGTCCAGTGTGTGGGATCCCTTTCGGCTCTGGACCCTAATTAGATCCTAATTAGCCTATACAAGCTAGCTTGAAGCCGAAACCAAAAAGGTCGGAAGATGTTGAAACTGCACTAAAGGTTCTGAACCCGGACGGCACCATCAAATTGGAGGGATCTCCGCGAAATGCTTGTGCGCACGACATCATTACCATGGAACATGCGCTGGGCTGGCTGGATCACATGCTTGGTTCTGCAGGCTGCCACAAAGAAGGTGAAACCGAGCGCAGCTGGGCCTTCAACCACTGGGCCGGCTCCTGTGCCCTCGGGGCCTGCGTAGATCCTCAGAGCTTGCGCGTTCGCGGCACCATGAATGTGGCCGTTGCGGATGCTTCCATCACGCCGACCACCATTTGGGCCCACCCGGCACTGACTCTTAAAGGCATTGCATTTAAAGCGGCCGACGTGCTTGCAAAATCCATGCCTTAACTCCAACAAGTCCTGCAGACCTCGATCGTAGTAGGCTGAAGAGCCGCGCGGGCCGTGTGCACGCTCAGAGCCGGTGCCGATTTGACACTGTTTTGCAGTTTTGTACAGATGTTGAAAGGCTGCTGCCAGAACTCGCTCACTATTGTACCAGAAAGGCAATGCTAGCCACGAACGAACTCGGATCGGCAACGCTTCCAATGTCTTCCATATTCAGGTCTTGCGAAGCGGTGATTCTGAAGCGGCTTGGCTTCTCAACATCGAATGCGCCTACACTTTATGTACAGCGAATCCTGGTGGACAGTCGCCATAATAGGTTGAAGAGCCCCAGGGGGAAAACGGATGTTAGGATTAAAACCCAGGCGTTGTCGGCAAATTTCGAGACAAAACGAAGTTGAAAGCGCGAGACGGATAACCTTGTTCCACGCTGCTCGAATCCACCTGCATCTTACGATGATCGTGGCGGATTACTTAGTAGACCCTTATGACGTATGCAGTCCCAGGAGAATTGGAGGTAGGGGATCCCCTGAAGCAACTGAATCCAGACGAGGGACATCTTTGGGTGTATACAGCCCTAAACTTAGCCTTATTCCCCGAGATGTCAGAGCAGGATGCCTTGTATGAAGAAGGGCCCAAGATAGAAGAAGCCTCATGAGGAGCCCGAAGTTCCCCCTGGGTTTACGGATTCGGGTTTAGGCGTTCAGGCTCTAGCCTCACTGCCAGGAAATGTGCTTAGGGTTTAGGGTTTAGCGTTTAGGGTTTAGGGTTTAGGGTGTAGGTTTAGGGTTCAGCCATGAGTTTAAGAAAAGCGACCGGTTTAATGAGGTAGGGTTCATATTGCTGTTATTGGTGCAGGTTTTGAGGGTTCCTAATATTTGTGAATGTATATCCAGCAAACACAAAACCTTACCTCACATGAGACTGCCATCATCGCGTTTCCCCTGTGTCGACTTGACTTGCACCGGCACGTGCATTGCAAAACATGGCCCTGCAAAGCTCAATTGGTTGACGATTGTCCTTCAGGGTTTGGGGTTTAGGCCTCGGGTATCTTCCGGTATGACACAATCTCAAGTAATTCCTTCCTTACAAAGTTCTTAATGCTCTTTACCATGCATGACCAGACTTTTCCCAGAAACCTAAGCGCTGAGCCCAAAAGGCGAACCCTGAAAACCCTAAGCATCCTAAATCTTAAAAAACCCTAAACGCCCTAAACCCTAAAATTTCTAAACGCCCTCAACCCTCAAAACTATGAAAATCCGAAACCCTACAAACCATAAACCCCAAACCAATTTTGGGGTACGACCACACGATGCATGCCTTGTTGGTGCCTGTTTTGGAAGATCTTCGGGCTAGAGGCAGAAGGTCCTAGATCCACAGCTGACAAAACGCACCCTGAATGGCATTCAACTCTAAACCTTAAACCCTACAGCAAAAAGCCAGCCTCGCCTTGACACACCTGCACCACAATTCTGCAGCTACAGCCCATGTTCTCTGAGAAGTCTTCTCCGTGAAGCGTTGCAGAGGTGCGCCGGAAATAGATCGCTGGATCTGAGACGGGGAGCAGTTTTTTGGGAGGTTCTTTCCTCAGTTCGAAGAGCTCCACGAGTTTAAGGTTTGCAACGTAATGAGCTAGCATTGTGCAGTGGATTTGGCGAGTGGTTCCGCCTGTGGGCCGTGTCTGGGTACCCGAAATATGAAGCTCTGCATGATGCTCGCAAGCCAAATCCCCCAGAGAAGGGTACCCTAATTTAGAGAAGTGGACATGTGCAGCCCGGAGCTCAAGGACGTTGCGTTCGATGTTTTGTTGCATTACCAGTGCTGTCGCTTCGATGTGGCTTGAATCCATGTGCTATCACGTACTCCCTGGGCGCATGTAAACGCCCACATCAATGCGCAAGCGCCTTTCAAAAAACCGGAAACTGGCTCAAGCGTCGTAAGCGCCTTTGCCTTTAAGCGCCTACATGGACAAGCGCCTTTTTCCCTTTTGTGGTGGCGGGTCTTGGGACTGCTGCCAGTTGTTGTTTCGTGGTCTTCGGGATGCCGTTGCCACCCGTCAAGGCTCGCTTCTCATGTTTTTGGGCGCGGTAGGTTTCCGTACGTTTCCGTGTGATTGTAGGAGCATTGCTTCGTGCTTGCTTCCATTTCCTTCATTGTTTCTAACCTGATTTTCGTTTGTCGCGGTCCTTGCCAACTGCTGCAATGGGCTCTTAGAATGGGCGCACATCCTGCCACCGAGCTTTGCTGACACGCTCAGACGCTTGGCACACATCTGCCGATGGCCTTCACTCCCTTCGACTCGGCCCTTACTTAGAGCTGTGAAGTGTTGCTGAGGTGCGCCGGAAATGGATCGCCGTGACAGCAAAGAACGGAGCCCCGGCTCTCACCTGGATCTGAGACGGGGGGCCGTTTTTTGGGAGGTTTTTTCCTCAGTTCGAAGAGCTCCACGAGCTTAAGGTTTGTTGAACATAGCTCTTAAAAACCCATTCCGACCAACAAGCCAGCGGGCCAAGCTTCAACAACTGCAAGCCCACATCAGCCCAGCTTGAGATCCAGTCCTGATCCAGCCCTGTCGAAACTTGCAAGTATGTCCTGTGCATCACCGTTGCCTTCGGATTTGGCTCTCAGAGAAGGCTCCTTTGAGCTGTACCTCGCCCAGGGCAGATTCCTTGTTTTCGCTTGCGTTGTTCCAGTCGGGTAAGCTCTTCAAACAGCGCCCCAGTGCGGGGTCTGCCCGACTCGCAAAGAAGACATGGACAACCTGAACCCAGAGCCGGAGGGGCCTCGCATGCAGTCGCAGGGGCGAGGACGCGCCCTCAGTTGGTCCGGGGAGTGAAGCGTTGCAGTCATAAGGGTTGGAAGAAGCTGCAAGCGTGGCCGCAAGATTGAAATGATTTCGCTACCCCGCGGTTTGTGAACGTGTTTAAACATGTTCGGGTCTCTTGCTTCGATGCGGGTTGCTTAGCTCCGTGCAGTTTGCCTGCCAATCGTAGCGCTTGCGTGCAGCCGCCTCGGCCAGTGAAGGGGCGCAAGTTGCAAGGGGCGTCCAGGCAATTGCCTTCGTGTTCTAAGGACTCGATCCGCCGAGTACTGAGCATCCTCGGCGCCCTAGGCCTCTCCCAGGTTTGTCCCAGGCCTGTCAGCGTCAGGTCCTTGAGTGTTTCCCCCTATGGCATTCAATGCAGCTTCCCCAAGCTCGCGGTGAGGGGAAGGGTAGGGAAGGTGGATCTGCTTCTTGCAGACAGCGGTCGGGGAACCGGAGGCGAATTCAACGCATGAATGGCAACCTGCTGCAAGGCCAATTGGAGCAGGAGCTGGCGGAGCGAAGGAGGGAAGAGAGAGCCGCAAGACGCCGAGCACTTGCACGCTTCTGCGACTTCGGCTGCCGCCCCTGTGCCTTCATGGCCAGCAAGAACGGCTGCCCGAAATCGTCCTGCGAGTTCTGCCATGCCCGAGTGCACAGAATCAGGCGCAGGCAAGGCGCGTAGCCATGAGGCGCTCCCGAACGGCATTTGGCCAAGCTGAGGGAGGAGAATCGGGAGAAGATGAATTGAGGGGCAAAGGGTTGCGCGCTGGGGTACCTTCCCCGTGCTTCCGTCTCGCCAAAGTGCGATTCACGAAGGCATCGGCTCCATACAACACTAATGCTGCAATATGACAATATAGTACGCCGCAGGCTGCAATGGTGTATCGCCGTTGTGCTTGACTAGAGTGGCCTGGAGTTGATGCAGGCCCCAGTTTTGACATGCGAACAAAGGACCAGGCGGGTCGGCGTTAAGCCCTCACCCACTGGCATTTATCCGGGCCGAGATGCCGCGCGTTCCAGTTCCAGCTCACGATAGCCTGCAAGCAGGTGAAGCCTCCAGCGCTCTCTCAATACGTTGCTACACAGGCAACTGAATGTCCCTGCGTAGGCACTTGTATAATGTTTCCAAGATCAGCTCTTCCGTGATTGGCCGTGAAAAGAACAGTGTCAGTTCTCTGTCAAGACCAGTGTGATGGTGCATGCGTTAGGGATGCTGGCGTTTGTTAAAATTTGGGATATCTCATCAGTCATCTTTGGTCCAGGAATGGTCCTGGCTCTCTCCCTGCGCGCAGTCCTCAGAATCGAGAGAAGCTTCGAAGGAGAGGTTGCGCTGTGTGCCTCGAACGCCTTTTGCTGACTCAGTCAGCATACAAGCATGTGTTGCGCATGCGCTCTTGATCGAGACACAGGCAGCTGCGAGAAATACGAGGGCTGGGCACTGGTGATGGCAGCTTGGTTTTGGATGGACTTAATTAAATAGCGTGGTAAGTTTGAAGCAAGTTTCTGAGAACATGGGAATCGAGTCTCCGGGTCGGGAGTGCTTCAAGCAAGCCGCCCACAGGACCGGCCAACCAGCCGAGGGAAGTGGAAGGGGGGGGGGGTGTTTGATACTTTCACATGTCCGGTGGTCTGGCCTGGAGGGGAGGAGGCACGATCAGGAGGATATTCCTATTGCTGAGCTGTCATGTTCGCTTGTGGCCGCGTCGTGCCTGGGTGCTGATGAGGCACGAATCATCACAAATCATTCCCTCTCGGCCACACCATTATACCTCTCCCAAGGTGCTGTTCACGGCCCTGCTGCGCTCGCGCAAAGCAGCGCTGGAGCCTTGTGTTTCACTGCTGCTGCAGTCGCGATTTCGGCAGCAATCTCTAGGACTCTAGGATGACTCTACAAAGTCGGCGCAAGCTGCTCCTCGGAATTTCACTGCATCCATTTGTCAGGCTGCGCAGCTTTGGCTCACGCTGCAGCTCCCTGAGGCCGCCTGCATTTCCCATCGTGGCTTGGGCTTCTTGCGGAACTTGCGGGCTTAAGTGCAAGATTGTCTTACGGCGCGAAAAAGGTTTTGAACCAGTCCTCGAATATGCCGTGCCATCTTCAAATGGGAAAGGCCCATCATGTTTTGGTCAACTTCAGTACACTTGTTGTCACATCTGTCACTAGCTCTTCTCCCCGAGCAGGTCCGCACCTGCCGACGCTCCC